GGGGGGGGGGGCAGTAGCCACTATCTTAATTTTGGTTCCCCCTGTCTGCCTGACATCTTGTGTCCCGGTTTCTGCTGCCATGAAACCCGGACACAGCTTTTAAAACGCGAACTGTCCGGGTGAATCCCGGAGAGGTGGCAACCCTAAGGGGGGGAACATTTCTACCCCAATCTTCTCACTCTATACTATGCCATTGGCTCCTCACCGTCACTGGTACATTCCGGGGTAGTCGTAACACCACGTTGTAGATGGTGCTGGAGGCCGGAACATTGGAGTAGACTTGTACGTTGTCTCCGACTGCCGAGAGAAAACAAAAAACATTACACCCGTTATTCCTAAATTTCTGAGCAATCACCCCCCTACAGATATCCTGGGAGAGGACGCCGTGGTGGTGGTGCTGCAGGTATCATGATGGCCTCCACCTCTGTGTTCCTTCCCATGATTCCCCCGTTTACTGGAGTTACAGAGAAAACATCGGAGACCCCAAATCATGTCAGATGGGGGCAAATTATCCAAGAGACCCGGAGGGTGTCAAATAAATGACCTCCTAAATCCTAACTCCTCACCATCCTCTCTCGTATTGGATTGTAATGTCTTCCTTGTATTGTACAGCGCTGCGCACACTGTCGGCGCCATATAAATCCCGTATAATAATCAGACATGTGCGATTCGTGTCGTTCCGAATTGCGACCAAATTGCGGAAATTCGTAGATTCAGAGCATCCGAACTTCCGAAATATAACATATCCGAAAGTATCCGATCCCGAAATTTCGGATTTGGAACGGATTTCGTCCAAATCCTGTCCCTTTTAACCCCTTCCTGCCCCAGCCATGTCTCAGTGTTCAGCGCTGCGGTACTTTGACTGACGTTTGCAACGCTGTACTGAAATTAATTTGATACCATTTTTTGGGGGCAGACAGAGCTTTCTTTTGGTGGGATTTAATCACCACTGGGGGCGCGGGGGGGGGGTTATTTTTTCCGCTATATTTAGGTAAAATTACTGAAAATTTTGGAAAAAAAAAAAGTTTTTTATACATTATGTTAGGAAACATTTATTATTACCCAGTTTTTTTGGTAAAATATAAAAGTCGGGGGTCACGTCAGGTAAATAGACACCAAACATGTCATGATTAAAAATTGCGCGCGCGCGCGAAATCGCAACAAAACTACCATACCCAAAATTGACCATAGGCGACGCTTTAAACGTTTTTACCGCTCATCAGTTTAGTGCTATCGGTGATTGATGGCCCTACAATTATTGCTCTCACTGCGACGTTCGCTGCGATATGTAACATGTGCGGCGTAATGGGCACAATCGTCGTTTTCGCAGGTATGCGCAGCTGACGCATTTTTGCATGCGTGTATGTAGGGGTGGGGACTTTTTTAAAAAAAATGTTTTTTTTTATTATTTTTTATGTGTAACTTTAACTTTAGTTTTTGGAAACTTAAATTCTTTTCCTATTTTTTTTTTTGTACTTA